ACCGCCTCCGCCACCTATGGGAGGACCTCCACCGCCGCCTCCGCTTATGGGAGTGCCGGGTGCACCTCCGCCACCGCCTCCTCCAGCGGGGAACGCACCGACAGGACCTAGTCCTTTACCTATACCTCCGGTTGGAGGTTGGAACCCTGCAAGCAGAGCGTGTGAGTAACAGAACGACGCGGTACATGGGTTGCTTTCGAGGTTTTCCGATGATAAAAATGTGGTTTTTGTTTAGGTATGAGAAAAGAACCTCTGTGTCCAGAGGTGCCCATGAAGCCACTGTACTGGACGAGGATCCTGGTGCCAGTGGTGCCAACAGATCGTGGGTCCGTCGACGTTGCGGATTCTGCCGTTCAGGTAATTAAGTCTTCAATCGATTGATTGATTGATTATTATTTATACTATTATTTTACTATGTATACCAGGGGGAGCCAACCTACGACTATTTGAAAGATTATTTGTGGCTTTCAATAAATGTACCCAAGTTCCCTTTTCATTTTTGTGCTATTATATTTTGAAAAATTATTATCGTTCCGTATGTGTTTCAAAATGTCTTTGAAATTACTGACGAGAAATATGAAAGACTAAGTGCAACGTTGTAACAAATTTCGTTTCCGTCCAAGTTAAGAATGATATGACTCATCGAAAACTGCGCCATCGAAAATTGCGGCTCGCGAAACATTTTAAATTTTGAAAAATGGCTTGGACTATCAAGGAGCTTGGCCATCCCTGATGTATACTATTATTAGTATATATTATTATTTATATTATTATAAATTTATACTATTATTATTATAAATAATATTATTTGCACTATTGATTGATTTATTATTTATTATTTATATTTGTATCAATTGGTTGGTGAGGTCACTAGTCCCTCTGACAATTCAGAAGGATTGACATTATTTTTAACCTCTGTCAACTTATTCTAAATTATATGAGAGACCTATACACACATGTGTTATAACTAGAATTATGTTATAATGAGACCAATAATTTTAATAATACACCAAAACTAAATGACTGCATCCACAAATGCATCCTGACGCATCAAAGCTTACCAAATGTAACTAACAATAGTAAATAATCTATGATCCAGCTCGCACAGTGAACGATTTATGTTAGCATTGTGGACTTTGACATATCTGCAGTGTAGTTGTAATGCTATCAAAGATTCTAATTACGCGGGGTGAAATTCGGATTAGTAAATTAGTAGGATGAAGTAATTTGTTGGCTGAATCTATATTTGATGTCGTTGACGTATGAAACAGAGGCTATATACAGAGGCGGTTGTTTGGGAGTGAAACCCCTCCGAGCTTGTCCCAAAGGTATTCTCAACGTTTCATTGACATTCATCTGATTAATCAAATGCTGATTGGCTGATCAACACTCGCGCGGGTAATAGTAATTGCTGCTGATCAATAACAGCGCGAGTACATTAGAGCGCATTTCGTGGCATGCAAGAATGGAAATTAATTGCAATGCTGATGGAGGTACTTTCCTGGTAGACGTCTTTGTTGGATAAACCCTCTTTGTTTGTATCTCCTTTTGCTCGACAACCATTGGTGATATAATCAGATTATTACTTTGTACACTCTTGATATGATGTACTTCATTTTCACTCACAATCGTGAACACATATCAACAAATAAATGTGATGAGATTAAAACATGATTACAAATAAATGATTAATAATAAATAGAAATGATTTGTGATAAAAAAAGTTAAGAATGAAATGTTGAGTCAGCGAAGAAAAATATGATCAATGATAAGAATTTAGAAAAAAGGCAATGATAATAAGTTAAAAATGAAATTTGATAATTAGCAGGGTCCACTATGGGCGGAGCTCGAGGAGGAGACAAATCTAGACATCAAAGAGTTCACCAGACTGTTTTCCCGCCAAGTGGCCGAGAGAAAACCGGTAAAAAAGGCGGACGTCGCTTCGAAACCGTCTAAAGTGCAACCGGCTAAGATCCTCGACTCGAAGCGATCCAAGACCGTGGGAATACTGGAGAAAAGTTTGCACGTGGACTTTTGCGAGGTTGAGAATGCAGTTTATTACCTGGACACGAGTGTTGTTAGTTTGGAAGCGTTGCAGCAAATATATGAAATCGTAAGTTTTTGAAATTTTATGCGGTACTCGGTTCTTATCGCTGCTCGGATAATTCTAGTGTATTTACAAGGGTTGGGGTATGCAAGTACTATATAATGATGAGGGGGAATAATATAATTGGAAACACAAGGCAGAGAATTATGGAGCGTGGAGATACGGAGCGTGAGAGTACGGTGCGTGAAAATATAGGGTGTGTGGTAATTCAATTTGAGGAGATATGACGCGTAGAAGTATGGTGAACGCAGTGGTACAATGCGTGGAATTACGGGAAATGGAATTATGGCGCGTGGAGATACGACACGTGAAGTGATACGTCGCGTGGAGATACGGCGCGTGTAGTGATTCGACGCGTGGAATTACGGCGCGTAGAATTACGACGCGTGGAGATATGGAACGTGTAGTGATTCTACGCGTGGAATTACGGCGCATGGAATTATGGCGCGTGGAGATATAGCACGCGTAGTGATTCGACGCGTGGAATTACGGCGCGTAGAATTACGACGCGTGGAGATATGGAACGTGTTGTGATTCTACGCGTGGATTTACGGCGCGTGGAATTATGGCGCGTGGAGATATAGCACGCGTAGTGATTCAACGCGTGGAATTACAACGCGTGGAAATTCGACGCGTAGTGATTTGGCACGTGTAGTAATTCGACGCGTGGATATTCGGTGCTTGAAATTACAACGCGTGGAAATACGGCGCGTGGAATAAACGATGCGTAGAAGTACGACGCGTGAAATTACAGCGGAATTACGGCGCGTAGAATTACAGTGCGTAGAATTACGACGCGTGGAAATACGGAACGTGTAGTGATTCTACGCGTGAAATTACGACACATGGAGATATAGCACGCGTAGTGATTCAACGCGTGGAATTACAACGCGTGGAAATTCGACGCGTAGTGATTTGGCACGTGTAGTAATTCGACGCGTGGATATTCGGTGCTTGAAATTACAACGCGTGGAAATACGGCGCGTGGAATAAACGATGCGTAGAAGTACGACGCGTGAAATTACAGTGCGTAGAATTAAATATCCCTAACCCACAATGCCCACAAAACCCACTCCTCCAACACTCTCTCCAAGGCACCAATCACACACCGTACCAAGCATCTCCCACAGCAGGAATTTAACGAACGACACCAGACAAAACAATAAAAAATTAATTTCTCTCCTCAGAGACCAACGCAGAAAGAACTGGAGGACATAAAATCCTTCGAGGAAGCAAATCCAGAAGTGCCCCTAGATCGTCCCGAGGTGTTTCTCAAGAAGCTATCAAGTATAAATCACTTTTCGGAGAGGATAGCGTGCTTGATGTTCCAGTCCGACTTCCAAGACGCCATCTCCTCGTTGTCATCCAAATTAACAAATCTGCGAACCACCTGCGACTTCCTACGAAACTCCAGTTCCTTAAAAAAAGTGATGGCGTTGATTCTCACTCTGGGGAATTACATGAACGGCGGAAACAGAACGAGAGGCCAGGCCGATGGTTTCGGCCTAGAAATCCTGGAGAAATTAAGGGACGTCAAATCAAACGTTCCAGGGGTCACGTTGCTCCACTACGTCGTGAAAGCGAGATTGGCTCAAGAGAAGGATCACAATTTCGAGGAACCTCTTCCGTTGCCGATTCCCGAACCGACAGACATCGAGGCTGCCTCGACGATCAATTTCGACTACATCTCTGGAGAACTCGACAGGTTACGGAAAGAATTGCAAGGTAAAATTGATCCAAGCTTCGTCTTCAGTCTTACATCTGCACTTTTCTTTATTTCAGTCTTTCTATTGCAGTTTGTACAGAGAAGTGCAACCTCGTGGTGGAAGCTGACCCGGATAACTCGGGCCCGTTTAAGGAGAAGATGGATTCGTTCTTCAGGGAAGCGGCGGAAGAGTTGGCGAATGAACAGGAGGCTCTAGTGGAAGCCAAAAACAAATTCAAGGCTGTGATGCAGTTTTATCAGTATACGCCCAAGGGCAGCAATCTGGACACCGCTGATCCGAGCGCGTTCTTCATTTTGTGGCTCGGCTTCTGCAGGGACTTCAAAGTATGTTCTTCTATTCGGATATTCTTTTGTGTATGTAGATAAAGGGTTAGGCTAAACCTCACCTAACTATCTATATCACTAAACTAACCTGACTGTCAATATCACTAAACCTAACCTAACTATCAATACCAATAAACCTAACCTAACTGTCAATATCAATAAACCCAACCTAACTATCAATATCAATAAACCTAACCTAACAGCCAATATCATTAAACCTAGCCTCACTATCAATATCAATAAACCTAACCTAATTATCAATATCACTAAACCTGACCTAACTATCAATATCACTAAACCTAACCCAACTATCAATATCACTAAACCTAACCTAACTATCAATATCAATAAACCTAACCCAACTATTAATATCAATAAACCCAACCTAACTACCAATAACAATAAAACTAACCTAACTATCAATATCAATAAACCTAACCCAACTACTAATATCAATAAACCCAACCTAACTACCAATAACAATAAAACTAACCTAACAACCAATGTCATTAAACCCAGCCTAACTATTAAGATCATTAAACCTAACCTAACTGTTCATATCACTAAACCTAACCCAACTATTAATATCAATAAACCCAACCTAAATACCAATATCAATAAACCTAACCTACCAACCAATATCATTAAACCCAGCCTAACTATCAATATCACTAAACCTAGCCTAACTATCAATATCACTCAACCTAACCTAACTATCAATATCATTAAACCTAGCCTAACTATCAATATCAATAAACCTAACCTAACTATCAATATCACTAAACTTAACCCAACACTAAAAACTCCTAAAACCGTCAATACATTAAAACCATCTAAATTTCTCCTTATTAATATTTCAGGATATATGGAAGAAGGAGCAACAACGAATACGTAAGGAACGAGTGGAAGAAATGCGAAAGAAATTCGAGAACAAAAATAAAGTTGAGAAATTGAAAATAAGCGCCACGGGATTGAAAGCACGACTTCAGAAACTGTCACGTAAATAATGATATTCGTGAGATGATCTATGGTCCGCAAGTTTTCAACGAGTCGCCTAAAAGTATACGCCAGTCTTCGAGCGAGGATACAAGATAGTCTGTGACTGTTGCAAACAAAGAAGTTAGGCAGTCTCGGATCGATCGTCCGTTCTGTTCGATCCGTCCCAATTTAAGGCACTAATTTTCTCGTCGAATTTAATCGGAAGTTTCAAAGATTTCTATATACATAGCTATATACGGTTCGTTTGTGAATTTGTTATTTGTAAATAGGCTTGTTAAGTTTGTGAATGATTTGTAAATACGATATACCGCGATGTTCGATAATTATAATAAACGATAACTTTTTACACGAATTTTGGTGTACTTTTTGATGGTTTATGTTAAGAAGTTTGTAGAATTTCTCTAATTTTAAGTTACTGAGTTCCTGAATTTTTAAATTCAATGAAGTGATTCGACGCGTGGAATTACGGCGCGTGGAATTACAGTGCGTAGAATTACGACGCGTGGAGATACGGAACGTGTAGTGATTCTACGCGTGAAATTACGACGCGTGGAGATACGGAACGTGTAGTGATTCTACGCGTGAAATTACAGCTCATGGAATTACAGTGCGTAGAATTACGATGTGTGGAGATACGGAACGTGTAGTGATTCTACGCGTGAAATTACGACGCGTGGAGATACGGAACGTGTAGTGATTCTACGCGTGAAATTACGGCGCGTGGAATTACAACGCATAGAGATATAGCACGCGTAGTGATTCGACGCGTGGAATTACAACGCGTGGAATTACAACGCGTGGAATTACTACGCGTGGAATTACTACGCGTGGAATTACTACGCGTGGAAATTCGATGCGTAGCACTTCATTTGCCTAATCTCTAGCTAGCTCATTTTACAAATTTTAAAATTTGCAGATTTGTACATTTCTATATCCCTAAATTTGTTAATAGTTAAATTTCTAAGTTTCCAGATTTCTAACCTCACTTTCCAATTTCGCTACATTGGTCCTTATGAAAAAAGAATAAAAAACATATTGAAAGTTTGGTGTCAAATGCGTGTGCGTTTGCGTATATTTTTCCACTGCAATTAGTAGCGACGATACAGAACCTTCAAGTAAAGCGAAAACAGGAGATTAACATTTAAGAATAGTTAATAGATTAATCGCATCATCATCATCGTACGAATCGTGCTATCGCGTTAATCGCATTCTAAAAACATAAAAAAGAAAGAAGGAAGGTCGGAAATGCCTTTCTGCAAAAAAAATATCATTATCGAACAAAGCCAAAGTACGGATCAGAAATTAGGGCCCGCTCGTTCGTCCGCGCCACGGTCCGCTTCGGTAGGGCAGGTACGATTCGCGCAAAAGCGATTACGGCGATAGACTTAAGGCAAAATCGTTGCGTGTAGCGTAATTTGTCTTTTTTCATTTTCATTTCTAGGAAACTGTCTTATTCGCGGAGTGATTCCCGGCCGCGTTACCGTGCCGGACAACCGAGCAGTATATACACATCGTTCCTATAACATCTCCAATTAAAACGATACGATCTTTCTCGATTCGTTGCTCCTTCCGCGAAGGATCCATTAAAGAAATTACAATCGTAGTAAACGGAAAATAGAATCGGTACAGTCAGGCGACGCGTGCGCCGCGAAATACGCATACACCAGCGACGAATGATTTCATTTCCACGAACATGAAACGTTACTCGTGTTAACGACCGGTAAAAACCTAGTCCTATAGATAACGTAAAATTACAATTACATTAATTGATAAATCGTTATCGCTATCATTCCGTAAAGAAACACTCTTACGAAACACCGGCTAATCGGGCCCATACTGAGCGCCACAGTGGCGCCCTCTGCACGGCCCAGACACACATCATCATTCTGGGATAAATTTCTCTTAGCAGCGCGTGTCACCCGCGCTTTCTATGCGTATATTTTTACAAAATATCTCGATAACGTTAAGCTCTTTCGATTCGGGCATCCTCGAGGAGAACCTCGCTTCGTAGGGATTTTAACAAAGAAAGGAAAAAGGTAATGAAGTTCTCCTTGAAGCAAAAAAGCTTTAGTAACGAATTTCATCTCTCTCTCTCGAGGCGCCCTCGCGGTACGAATCGTTAATATATTATTAGAATATTCTAAGCGTAGCGTCGACGAGGATGCCCCGTGAACAAAACAGGCGGTGATCTCGGTCTCGTTGACACGATCACGGCTTCGAGAACAGTTTTGGCCTTTCAGCGACTACGTCCATGGCGCGACTATAATCGGAATGGTGCACGTTGATCGATCGGCGTCGGTTTTCCTCTCCTTTGACTGGCAGGGGTCGTCGACACCGACGTGTCCGAGGCTCCTGAAGGCTTCCTCGACAGCTTCAGCGATGGCGGCAGTGGAGTACTCGACCCACTGGACGGTGTCCTTGTTCTGGCAAAAATTATAATTATAAGTATACTGCTAACTTGTGTTCTTGTAGCTGGAATGGGCTAGGTTCCACAGATTTAGTGATAGAAGTACTACGTCAGAATCAAGTAGCAATTTGAGAACTTTGGGTTAGGTCAGGATAGGTGAGAAACTTAAAAATTTTATAAAATTGAGAAATTTAAGAATTCAAGAGTTGGAAACCTTGGGGTTTGAAATGGTCAAAATTTGCTACTTGAAAAAATAAAAAATAAAGTGTGGAAAATTGTACATCTAAAAATATAAAAATTTCTAAATTCCTAAATTATAAAAGTACTCTACATGCTACCCTCTACATACAGTGCTAATCTATGTCTTTGTGGAACCACACCCACTCAGTCCTTAGTGACACCAATGGCATCGCATTTCCCATGGAACTTAGTCCAACAATCGATGATTAATCCCAAATCGATCACGCGTATCATTTATGTACATAGCCTGATCGGGTCAATTTCATACCAGGCTATATCCGGATTTGATCGGTATGGTACACGGTCAAGTGATCAAACACAACGAACAACGACGACAATGAACATCAAGCGACAAAACCAATATGTAAACCGAATCACAGACCGAAACGATGATTACCTAGCTTGCTTAACGGCCGACGAGGTGTTAGTTGCTGAATTTGTACACATCGAGCTGCTCCTATAGTATTGGAAAACAGACACGATACTGTATTATTAGTACGTCACAAGCGGTGCACGGTAAACGGCCGTTAACGGAGCGATAAGCCAAACTGCAAATCAAATACCATGCTAATACCAAATGGGGATGATGTGGGTTCTACGTGAAGTAGAAGCTTTCATGACTAATGCGATGATGCGGGACAAATTTTTATTTCAAGTGTTACCGCTCGACGCGTTGAAATACGGCGCGGGGAGATAGGGGGTGGGTGGGATTTTGACGTGCGGAGATACGGTGCGTGAAAGTATGACGCATGGAGATACGGCGCGTACAGCAATTCGACGCGTGGAAATATGGCGCGTACAGTGATTCCACGCGTGGAAATACGGCGCGTAGAAATATGGCGCGTGTAGTAATTCAACGCGTGGTAATACGGAGCGTGGAATTACAACGAGTGGAAGTACGGAGCGTGGAATTACGACGCGTGGTAATACGGAGCGTGGAACTTCCGCCGCGTGGAATTACAAGGCGTGGAAATACAAAGCGTGGAATTACAACGCGCAGAAGTACAGAGAATGGTACTTCCGACGCGTGGAATTACAAGGCGTGAAAGTACGGAGCGTGGAATTACAATGCGTGGTAGTACAGAGCGTGGAAGTACGGAGCATGGAATTATGACGCGTGGAAATACAGAGCGTGGAAATACGGAGCGTGGTACTTCCGACGCGTGGAATTACAAGACGTGAAAGTACGGAGCGTGGAATTACAATGCGTGGTAGTACAGAGCGTGGAATTACAACGCGTGGAAGTACGGAGCATGGAATTATGACGCGTGGAAATACAGAGCGTGGAAGTACGGAGCGTGGAAGTACGACGCATGGAATTACAACGCGTGGAATTACAATGCGTGGAAGTAAGGAGCGTGGAATTACGACACGTTTAGTACTTCAACGCGTAGAGATACAACTCACAAAAGTACAGCGCAAAAATACAACGCCTTAAATAATAAAATTCAAAGAAATTAGTCAGAGATCGGTAAACACTTGATCGAAATTCTCCACATGAATATGACAGCAACTCAAAAGAATATGTAGAATGAAACTAAAAATACATGTGCAGCATGCATATAACATATACACACGGTGTAGAAAAGAAAAGAAAAGTGAAGCGAGCCAGTGTTAAAAGCGGGAAAATAGATCGGCCATACCCGGTAGAATCGGTAGAAACCGTCGAGTGGTTGCTTTGCGTAGAATGAGTTGAAATATTGCTGGTCGTCGATTGTGGGGATTTAATATCAGTACCCACGTACACGGGAATCCTCGAACGGCTAAACGATCATCATCGAATCATCAGTTAAACGCATGAACATATATAGCTTATCGGCGCGTCTCGTCGTTCTGATAATCGCGAACTAAAAAAGCCCGAGTAAAAAGCGTCGAACCGAAACCAAAAGTAAAGGCAACATAAATGAGAGAAACAAAGAAATGAAACGCACGATGAATGAGTCACCTCCACCATTGCCGCGAGCATTGAACAACTGGGGATGATATTGTACAGTAATTTGAAAATTTATCACCCTTAGTACCCATTTGTCTCAAAAGCTAACAGCCAATTTGTCCAATTCTCTATAATCGTTAATTCAGTTTACCTGATCGGTGTGCCGACACCAGTCAGGGTTGGAATGCTCGAAGCTCTATGGATTGTGCCAAACCTAAAAAAATGTTATTAACCAAAATTTATGTTAATCGTCGTTAACACGTTTAGAAACGACTGGTTAATGTGCGTGGTACGAGGCGTTCTAAACTCTAAATCGCGTGTCGAGATTGTAATACCGCGGCTGTGAAATCAGGAGAACGAAAGAGAAATAAACAACATAATCAGGTAACAAAATGCCGGGGACAACGAATTAACATATCCTGATCTCGCACATGACATCGTCGATCAAAAAAAGAAAATCATTCCAACATTTACGGAACGGGGATGCGAATACGACGGTGCATCTCTTTCGTGTACAGTGCCGAGAACGCTGGTCTTTTCTAGGGTTATTTTTAGGTTAGGTTAGATATAGTAGCATGTTTAGGTATGAACATTTGTTGCGTTGGCCTTTCTAGTAACTAAGCACTTATTAGTTATTCTTCCAAATGTAAGAAACGTTAGGTTAAAATTATATATGCAACGTATAAATATGTGACGGACAGATATCTAACCGGCAGTGATACAACGCGCGGATATCTAACTTGTAGTAATACAACGGATTAATATCTAACTCGGAGTAGTACAATATGTGAATGTATAACGCATAGCGATGCAACGCGTGGATTTTTATCGCGTAACAATATAACTAATACATAAGTACCTAACATGTAGATATCTAACGTACAGATATGTAGTACATGGGTATCTGACACAGAGATATCTAACATATAGTTAACTAACGTATAGATATCTGACGGGTAAATACCTAACGTACAGATATCCAACGTACAGATACATAGCGTGCAGATATCCAGCATACAAATACCTAATACACAAATATCTAACCCATGGCTACAAACTGCATCAATAACCATAAAATATAACGCCTCCTCTCGCTACATAGCCACTCCCTAGCAAAGACTAGCGTACTCGACAGTGTACATACGATGCATAAAAATCAATTGATCTACGTTCGACAAGATGCGAGTTAGTTCTTCTTGCGCAATTTCCAGGTTTCCTCTTTCAGGTGAACACACGGGAACAACGTTTCACAGGTACGAACCTAGCTGGAACCCCACTGGCAGGACTAACCAGACCCGTGGGAGTTCTGGGACGTGAACTAGAACCGTTCACCGGTGTTCCAAGTCGTTTTCCAGAAACGCTGTTGTGTCTGCTGGATGTTGGAGTGTTCCCTGTTGTGCTGACGGTTGTTCTACGAGGAATCCGGCTTAGGTTGCTCGAATCGTCTGAAATTAAAGGAATACAGAATTTAAGGAATACAGAAATGATCTTACTGATATGTAAAAGGAGAATTTTTGTAAGAATTACCGGTACTATCGAGCGATTGCGTTGAACCATAACGGCTTGGAGGTTTGCTACCCTGTCTAGAGGCTGGTCTACTTCCTGGTCTACTTGTTGGTCTGGACGCTGGCCGCGACGCTGGTCTGCTAGACGGACGACTACCACCTGCAATGACATTTATTTATAATATGTGATACTGCAATGTGTGGTAATTCGACGCGTAGGAATTTGACGCGTTGCAATTCCAGTGCGTGGAGTAATTCGATGCGTTGGAATTCCAGCACGTGGTAATTCGATGCGTGGTAATTCGACGCGTGGTAATTCGACGCGTGGTAATTCGACGCGTGGTAATTTGACGCGTGATAATTCGACGCGTAGGAATTCGACGCGTTGTAATTCCAGTGCGTGGGGTAATTCGATGCGTTGGAATTCCAACGCGTGGTAATTCGATGCGTTGCAATTCCAACGCGTGGTAATTCGATGCATTACAATTCCAGCACGTGGTAATCCGATGCGTGGTAATTCGGCGAGGAATTCGACGCGTGGCAATTCCAGTGCGTAGAGTAATTGGATGCGTTGGAATCCCAGCGCGTGGTAATTCAGTGCGTTGGAATTCCAACGCGTGGTAATTCGATGCGTTGGTATTCCAGCGCGTGGTAATTCGATGCGTTACAATTCCAGCGCGTGGTAATTCGATGCGTTGCAATTCCAACGCGTGGTAATTCGATGCATTACAATTCCAGCACGTGGTAATCCGATGCGTGGTAATTCGGCGCGTGGTAATTCGATTCATGGTAATTCGACGCATGATAATTCGACGCGTGGTAATTCGGCGCGTAAATTACCTGGAGTAATGGTGCTTCTATAAGGCGTACTGGTCTTCCTGGCGGAGCCAATTTTGAAGGAACTCTCGTTATCGCTTAGGCTGTCGGGCGTCCCGGCGCTCAACGAGGAGCGGGATGCTCGTGATTGTCCCATAGGGACGCTTCGAGCGCTGCGTTCTCTCACCTACGCGGTAGAAATGACAGATCAGATGAAACGAAACTTAAGAGTCTACGAGATAACGAAAAGGTGCAATCTATCAGAGGAGCGAATGCACGTTAGAGACAGAGAAGCAAACAAACAGCAAAGAGGTCTTCTTCTGAATGATCGACGCACTAATTGGACGCGTCGATGCTGTTGACACGATACTTGAACGTTGCGAGGTAGAAACATAAAAAAATTTCAGCTTTGTTTTATAACATCTTAGTGACGTAAGCTAGTAAATTAAGCTAGTTTTCAGTTCAATATTAATTAAAAAAAATTTCCCTACAAATTATTTACATACGCAAATTCACAATTTTGTGTTCTGTATGTAATTTTTACAAACAACTAGTTTTATACAATTTTGTAGAAGATTTTATATAAGAAAGATTTGACTTGAATTAAACTTTGAAGCTATTAAATCTTCATAATAACAAACATAAATATTTTATCTTCTGAATTAAAAAACACATAATAATATTTATAAAATTATTTGTAATAGCCGTTCTACCCCACAATTTTCCTCATCGATACGAAGAAAAAACATCATAGTCTCGCGGTGTTGCTCGGTCGTTCGTTTACAACCTTTCATGGCCACCGTACTACAACAAGAAACCGATCGATCGATCGAAGGAAGTGAACAGAATAATTAAGAAGATAAATAATAAAAAGAACCACAGAGATAGAGACCATCGTGATGATAGTAAATAAAAGATGCATGCAAACTTACCAGAGGAAGTTGGGAGAGATAGAGTAGCTTATGGTGATTCGAAGTGTCTCCGATCAACGCCACTATGCACGCACCAATACAGCAATACAGGAGAGATCTCGTTATGCATATAATATCGATACAGTAGTTCACCATATCCGCGGAAACGCGTATCGCGATTGTATCTCGCGAGAGATTCTGGATAGAGATTACGAAACGTTCGACACCCTCGATCAATTAATTTCATAACATACTAATGTCGGTAGACTAGTTAAATAATTAATCTTATGTAATTCAATTTGGGGCAATGTAACGTGGGGTGATATGACGCGGTTTGGTGAGGGTAATTTGATGAGTGAGGATTTGGCGCGTGAGGATTCGACGCTTGGTGATTTGGCGCGTGGTACAGCAACGCGTAATAAATCGACGCGTGATATTGCAATGTGTAGTAATTCGACGCGTGGTAATTCGGCGTGTAGTAATTCGATACGTGGTGATTCGACGCATGGGAATTCGATGCGTGGTAATTCGATACGTGGGAATTCAACGCGTGGTAATTCGATACGTGGGAATTCAACGCGTGGTAATTCGATACGTGGTAACTTGACGCGTGGGAATTCGACGCGTGGTAATTCGGCGTATAGTAATTCGATGCGTGGTGATTCGACGCGTGGTAATTCGATACGTGGAAATTCGACGCGTAGTAATTCGATACGTGGGAATTCGACGCGTGGTAATTCGACGCGTG